AGAAAAATATTAAGCTTTGTGTGGAAAACCCGAAACTTTTTTTGGTGAGGTACCCTAATGTCCATATGTATAGTGTTTATGAATGCCTCAAGCCCTATAAGCGGGTGGGTTGGGGTGGCTAAAGCCCTCAATCACAAACACACATACTTACACCCATACATGCATACCTAAGTATCATCATTCGAGTGCAAACAATTCAAGCATTTGTTTGCCTATTCGTTAGTTAGTTAGGCAGTTAAGGTATTATGGCAACAAATCCGGTGGTTGCAACAGTCAATAATAAAAATATGCGCACCACACATACGCACACGAACGCATATAAAATGTCATAGCATTAATGTTGGATAATATTTTTGCACATATGTGGCACTTATTTTATAAAATCAATTTCCGCTTCCTCAGCAGCCAAACAACCAACCAGTCAACCAGTCAAACAGCCAAATATGTAGTCAACTTGTTGGTGCTCGCCCTTCGCGCGCCGCTGCGTGGTTCATTGATCATATTTTTTTTTCACTTTGAATTTGTTGTTTTTGCTTTACTGCGCTGCAAGTACACTCCGCGCGGTGCTTATGGTGTAAGCTTACATGGTCGCTGGACTGGTGTGTGACCTCATGCTGGTTGCAAATTTTCGGTTGCATATGCAACACGGTGTGACGTTAACAAATGTAGATATTAGTTAAACATCGCATTGCGCGCGTCTACGCTAGGGCGGGAGTGGTGAAGATTGGATATTACCGCCCGCTGTGGGTTAAAGGTAGCTGAATTGTCCATTAGAATTGCTTAGGGTTTTTGTACTTTTTTGGGAGTACATATCCTTCTTCCGCAGCGGACTATTTACAGATGGGTATTTTTTTTTTGTTTTTTCTTCCTATGATTTGTCTAACAAATGCGAGAATTAGTGAGTAAACTAATTTTCTGATGGCTCTCGGGAGTTAAGTTTACAATTTTGCATATAAATGATATAAAAGCGAGGAAATAAATGCAATCTTATCAAAAAAAATATCCTGCCCTTGAATCATATAATTCTGTAGAAAAACAAGATTTGTTAAATTTTGGCATTTCTTGTAAATTAAGCTCTAAGTTATTCACAAGGAATTCTAATTTAATAAAAAAAAAATACACAAATGCTAACCAATCATTGTTTTAAGGCTGAGAACCAATTTGGTGCAAATGAAAACAAAGTTGGTTAGTATTCAGAGCGCAACCTTATATCCGCGCTCCTCAAGAAGCGATTGTCCTGCCTATGATGTCCTACTGCTCCACATTGCTGCATTCTGAGTTTAACCCCACTAATCTCTGATTAAATGCATATATCGTCGATAACGATGTTTAACCGGCAGTTAGTGTTAACCAGACATTGAGTTACCGGCCCTTAGTATTCACGAGTCTCGAAGAAGGGAAATTGAGACCAAAAAATGTTTTAAAAAATTTCGTGCATCCTGAGGTTGCTAATGGCAACTGGGCAACTCTCTCGATGCTGCTGCTGCTTCAATATAGAAAGGCAATTCATTCTAGAGGGCTTAGGAGTCTCTGTTGGCCAAGTTCTCGGAGGTGAATGGCAACTTTTGCAAAAGTTTTATGAAGATGGAAGTTCCAGTTCGAACTAAGTCTCTTATCTAGTATGCTAAGAAGATTTCCCAAGCTATTGACTCAGAGACTGCTCCATTACACCGCAGAACAATTGTTTATGATGAATATTCTCTTAAAAACGGAAATTCATGGGATTTCTCTAGGTAACAGACTCCACGTCTTACCAAAGACCTGCATAAAGAAGCCAGAGCCCGGTTAAGGCTTTGGTAAACGCATATGAGCAAATCTAACGGGTTGGTTTTTTTATGGTCACTTCCTTCTCTCTCCAGAAAAAAAACCCTAAAGCACTCTTCTTGCATATATGTACATATGTATTTCAATCAACGGAGCTCCAGAAACAAGTACAATAAATAATTAATCAAGTATTTGAACAATTTTAGCCTTAAAACGTTTACTTCGGCGAAAAAGTGTCGAAATTAGAAATTTTTTTATTGTCACTCGAAAAAAATCAAATTTTTTTTATAAAGGCGGATTCACCGTTCGTGTCCGGACACTTTTTGTTAGTAATTTTACTCGTTCTTTTCCCACTCTGTCTCACTGAGAGCGCAACCAAAATGTGCTGAACACTCTTTGTTCGAATCAAATTGATTTTGATTATCTGTCCGAACGACTTGATGATTATGATTGCCATTATTTTTTTTTTTTACGTTTGGTAGCAGTTGACCCGTATAAAACACATGATTTAACATAAACACACATGTAGGCAACACTTTCGAATGTCAGCAGCTGGTTTTTTTTCAAGCAAAATAAATAAAAATAACATGCAATCGCCACAAGGACCAAGTAAATGTAATTTATTTCAATAATAATTACTTAAAATTTGAATGTTCTTAGATTTATCACTACTCAAAAAGCTCTTCGTGGAGGTACAGAAGGAATCCCGATCATTTTTGTACGATCTCAGCCAGAAGGAATATAAAAATAACAAATTGAAGCAAATAGTTTGGGCTGAAATTGCCGAGTCGCTTGAACTACCAAGTAGGTGATATTTTATTAATGTACATATGTGTGCTCAATAGGCGAGTCTTTCTTTTTATTAGAAGATGAAGTTCAAGTGCTCTGGAAACGCACCCGGAATAAATACAAAGCTGCACTTGCCAAGTCTATCTTACCCAGTGGTAGTGCGCGGCGCCCACAAAAACAAATGGATTTGTTCTTGTTGCAGGAAATGGATTTTTTGCGACCGTTTATAGAGGATGCCGAGCAAGCAATGTCCATTTCTGATGCGATGTTACGATCAGCAAAAGTTACTTCCGATACCGTAGCAACATATCACCATTACGTTACCATATACATACATCCATTTACACTTGCATATACATACATTTACACGTACATATGTAACTATAAGCAATCAGAAATGGGAATACTTCGATTTTTCCGAGGTGGTATATTAAAATTGTAGTGGAAAGTTAAAAGAGTTTATATATACATAAACACTGGCCCTTAATGCGATTGGCGATGCTCGGTTGATAACTGCTAGTTATCAACGAAATTGACAAAATGTTGAATACCATGTACCATTTGGTAAAATTGATTAATAATCATCAACTATCAACCACGACTTGACAATCGCAAAAGGGGCCATTGAGAAATTTTATTATGTTTATGTAAAGTTTTATTCCAAAAGTCTGAATCTTTTTATGCGCTTATATCATTAATAGACCAACATCGACGAACTACACCGACGCCAACACACAACGAATTCAACATTTGTTCGATGAAATGGCCACAGATCCAGAGGTTATAGACTGTTCCATGGATGAATCTTCGTCAACGCCGATTATTCGCAAAAAGCCAAAATCCGTGGATTCCACTAAAGATATAGAGGCAAGCTTGCAACGATTGGAAGGTATTGCGACGAAAATCCTCGCCACTCCGCGGGACCCGTTTTATTCATATTTTGAAACGGAAATGGAGAAATTGTCTGACCCAGTGAAAGCAGAATTCAAATCACAATTCATAACTCAAATTTATGAAGCTCAAAAGAACAAAGATTTTTAATACTTTATTTATGATTTTATTATTATATATTATTGCACTTTATTAAACTTAAACTTAGTAGGGTGTAAAACTGCATACTAAACCTTTTTCTGGGAACTCTGATAAAACATGAAATTTTGTTGAAACTTTGTAGATTATTTAATTTTAACTTTGAAACTTTTATTTGCATATATCTGCGGTCATAAGCAATAACCGCCTAAGTCGACTTAAGAAAGAATTGAGTTATATATGCTATCGTATTCTGCAACTTCTATTCCATGTGTATGTGAAATCCCCATCTCGCCAGCTATGCTATTTAAAAAGTTATAGTACGAACATATTTTGGTTTCCCCATAAGGTTAATATTACAATCCAAATGTTTAAAACGTTTTTTCTCGAATTCAGGTTTTTTGACTTTGGCGATTATTGCTTATGACCACAGATATATGGGTTCGAAATTTGAATTTACATATCAATGGTTGAGTGGAAGATCGACCTATCTCGACAGCAAGTTCGAAAACGCCCTTTCTTAGAAAACTTTTTTAGAACGCCCTACTTCAGATTTTGATTGAAGAATGTCCTATTTAAGAATTTTATTGAAAAACACTCTATCTCAGAATTCGGTTCAAAAACGCCCTATCTCAAACGAAAATACATTGAAAATATGCTGAGATAGGGCGTTTTTGATTCGGCAGCTGAGATAGGGCGTTTTTGAACCGAATTCTGAGATAGGGCGTTTTTCAATCAAGTTCTAAAATAGAGCGTCGTTCAACAAAATTTTTAAATAGGGCGTTGTTTAAAAGTTTTCTGAGATAGGGCGTTTTAGAACTGGTTGCCGAGATAGGTGGATCTTCCACTCAGCCATACATATTTGGCTTAGGTTTTACAATGACCTATAAAATGTATAAACATTAAAGAAAAAGTAAAGAAAGAAGAGAAAATAAAAGAAAAAAAAATAAAAGAAAATAATGAAAAATAGTCAAAGCTGGTCAAATCGTTGGGGTGGTTTTATTTGACAATAGGTATGTTATAAACTATAAACTAATCTGGAAAGCTTTCAAAGTAATTTGTAAATATATTCCGGACAGTCATGGCATCTTGTGAGGCATGATTACTTCGAGAAGATAATATTGGTTGTAAACCAATTCGGGTAATGTCTAATTCGCTGTCCTCTTCAACTTCATCCGCGTTTAAATAATTGGAGGCGCTTTTGTCTCGAAGCCAATTATGCAAGCACACTGTAGCCTTCACAATATTTATTGCAGTTTCCTTGCTTGCAATAATTGGTTTGCGGTATATCCGAAAACGGCTGGATAAAATTCCGAATGCGTTTTCAACAACCCTTCGCGCTTTGGACAGGCGTTTGTTGAATATTAATTCTTTTTGAGGCAAGTTCGTAACATTTCGGCCAGGATATGGACGCATTATATTCTTTCGTAAAGGAAATGCCTCATCTGCGAGAAAAACAAAAGGAGCAATTTCATTTGTGTTAGGAAGTACTTTTTCTCCAGGAATTTTCATATTTTGCGGGTGATGCAAAATACTGTTGCCAAATTTTGAATTTTTAAACACTCCACCGTCACTATTATGCCCTAAAGCACCTATGTCTACCATTATAAATTTATAGTGCGCATCGGCCACTGCCATTAAAACCAAACTGTGCGTATGTTTGTAGTTGTAAGTAAGCGAATTGTGGTTCGGAAACGCCTGCAAATTTTGGTATTTTATAATCATCTTTTACGCCTGTATATGTGTATATATAATATTTTTATACACACCTGTATTACGACATGTTTCCCGTCTATTGCACCTAAGCAATTGGGAAAGTCCCATTCCAAAAAGAACTCGTCTGAAGTACTTTTCCACATGTCTTCAGAAGGGGTAGGGAAAACATATTGTAATTTTTCCCATATCTGTTGACAGGTTTCCCTTACAATATTAGATGTGGTCGAAGCGCCAATTAGAAATCCATAAAACCCAACTGATTTCATGCTATCTCCACTCGCTAAATATCTATAAAGGCAGCCGGTTTACTATAGAACGCACATTTAAAATTTATTTCGGGCTTCATTGTGGCTGGCTATTCCAAAAGGGCAGGTCAATGAAGTACATAATGTGTATAATATCTATTTTGGAACGCATCACCACTGGAGGTTAAACGAACTGAAATTGTTTTGTCTCCCAATCGAATTTAGCAATGAGTGACGGAGATTTCTTCCAAAAAACATCATTTCCTTAAAGCGTTTACCTTAAAGTAAGAGCCAATCTTTCTCCTGGTGATATTTCTTCATTAAATCTATTGGGTTGATTCTTCAAGTTGGGTCCCAAAATGTGAAGGAGCTCATCGAAGGTCGTCGGATCCATGCGGTGAAAATTTATAAACGATTGAACGTCATTCAAACGCATCTTTGGTATGCGCGAAAAATAAAAACCATCTTTGCCTCGGTCCAAAAGTAATTTACGCACAGCACAGCTTCTTGACCTTTTGCTTTTCTGCTTCAAGCGGTTTAATCTAATTAATAGGCAAAATTTTTGAACTTCCACGCAAAATAATTGGATTTGTTGATGCCTTTCCATATTGTAATTCAAATTTGGCAGCTTTTTATTTATTTTACTTTTTCACTACGTCAAATTTCACCCAAATGACAGTTCATCAGCTATTGACTTTAGAGGCAAATAAAATGTGCCGAACTGAACGGTGAACCGTACTTCAGCACTCTCACAAAAAATTATTGAGAGAAAATAAAAAGTTGTCCGGACACGAACGGTGAACCCGCCTTAACTTTGGCAAGTTTTAAAATAGAATTTTTATATTAGAGGCAGCATGCAGAATATCTGTCGCAGCTATTTTGTAATTTTTGAAATTTTAAGATTTTTTAATTTTAATGATTTAAGATATCTACTTCAAAATGGTAAAACTGAACGGTAAAATTGTTGTGCCAAAAATCTAGTGTAATAAAACTAGTGTGCCACCAAATGAAAAAAAAATATTATATTGAATAAAAGATGAATATAATTTGAGAAACTAAAAATTCATTTTTACAATTTTTATTGCCGCATGAAAAAAGTAATATATGTATATGTGCCTAAGGAATACGGTGTAAAAATCTTTCACGTCAATATTTAATTACTTTTAAATTTAATGACTTTTAAGTTAAGGCGTGCGAGTAAATGTGGTATCTGACCTTGCCTGGTGCTATGGGGCGTATACGTTACATACACAACTACAGGGATATGAGGGCGAGTTGTAATTTTTACTTTTTTTATTATATATTTTTTAAGTTTTCATTAAAATAAAATTTCACGATGGAATCTGGTTCCTTACGCAAAACAGAAGATAATGCATTGTCTAAGTTAAGTGTGCCACCAATTTCGACCAAAAACACGATTTTGTCCAAAAATGTAACAACTCGTGAGATTTGCTCATATACTTCTATTAATTTAACTATTATAACATACAGCTAGCACCAACGATAACAAAGCAACAAAAGGGCATCTCAAACTCAAATTAAAGTATAATAAACCTTTGGTGCTGCATCTATCACATCTTGAATTACAACTTTTATGCTACAACCTTTGCGCTTACATTGTCATTTTATGAAATCTTTGCACGCCATTCGTTTCTTATTAACACTTATTTTACACACATTAGGGGGGATGACCCCACCCACCAGCCTTCCACCTGCAAGAGACAATAAAAAAGTCAGCACTGCTGAAAAGTTGGCACATATTTTCTTCTTTCTTTATTTCAGTTCGCACTTTTCTACGAATTCATTACTCGTACATCCTTGCTCGACAACCCACCATTCCACTTTTCACTTTTATCCTCTCACGCATACGTTTTATCGTTCGCCTGACATTCACACTACATATGTATGTATATCTGCTACTAATCGCGCCAGTAGAGGTTAATAATCAACCGTCAACAGCCCATTATAGAGCAAAAGTGCCATATTGGGGCGTCGTATGTGACGTCGGCGCTCGTTTGTGGTGCAATGTGGTGCGGTGTAAAGTGACAGCGAGTGGAAGGAGTTGACAAAAGGAAAGGATAGACTTTGTCAGCCTGTGATTCCTAGCACTATGACTATTCTAGTCATAACCACTACAAAATAGTAATCGCTGCGACACTGGCATTGGCCGAGGCGGTGCGAGACAAAAGGTTCAGCAGTGGGTACATACATAAATGTGAGTGTTGCGTAGCGCATACCCACACATGTTTAGTTTACGGCCTAATTGCACACCAGGGGAACACCAAGCCAAGCAAAGCCAAGTCGAGTCGAGCCAAGCAACTAACAAACCCAAAAAACCTATGAAGAGTAAGCAGCTCCCGCAACGGCCACAATTTCAGCTTCTATGCTATTATTGCAATTGAATGCGAGATTGCGCAAAACTTTGCTTACCGCTGCAACTTTATATCTACTAGTTAGTGTTGGTAAAGTGGTGTGAGAAAGAAGTATGTTGTCTAAACATGAATAAAAACAGACAAACAAGTGCGTACGAGAAGAATACCTTTTTGACGAGCGCACATTGTTTATGAAAGTTTCATGTGACGGGTGATATACACACAAACATACCTACGTGTGTATGTATGTAGTTGGCTGGTTGGGTCGCATGTACCCCTTCTTGTGCTTAATTTTTTCTTCAACTTTCCTTTACTCAAACAATTTCTTACTTTTATATTTGCAATTTCTTTTTATCTTAACATTTAAGTGTACACAAAAGCAACGATTAAACTAAGAAAAGTAGTGAGTGGGGTAAAACCAACAATAACAAATGTATGCAATTTTTTTGAATGAAGTGAGTTGATATAAAACGCCATATGTGCGTATGGCCATTATTGCCAAAAATGTGTACTTTGCGTAACCGAAAATGCTGTCGTCAAACAAAAGCACAATTAAAAAAATAAAAATAAATAAAAATTTCTGCGCTCTTATTATCGCAAATTGCTTTGTTTCTTTAGATAAATTCTCTCAAAGGCCCAATAATTGCATAGCAAAGTTCAAAAAATTTCAAAATAAACAAATTTGAGCCAATTAGACGCTTTAATGGCAATATTTTTTTTTATGTAAACATGAGAAAATTAGTAGACGAATGAATGAGTGAGTGACCGTATGTCAAAAAAAATTTGCATACATGTACATTAGGGTGCGTACATCACCAAAAAATTTTGTAGTTTTCCACCGAAATTATAAAATCTGGTGGATTTTAAGACTTCTTCCAAAATATTTCGGAAAAATATTGAGTCTACATAAGCTAGACCGATATGAAAATACCTCAAAAATCTTATTATTATGTATTTAGATTCCGCTGTTAAAAATTTTAAACGTTTTTATGCAGGCCTTTAAAGCTTATGTGATTTTTAAGAAAAAATATTTTCAAAAACCCATTTTATGTAGGCACATGCAAAAAATTAGAAGGTATTTTCGAAAGTGTCGAGCTCACGTAAATCTGAATATTTCCCGCAATATTTTGGTGTAAGTCTTAAAATATAATAAATTGTATAATTCCGATGGAAAACGAGTACCATTTTTTTTTGTATGGAGAGTAATGCGCCCTAATGTACATTCCTACATATGTATGTGCGTTGCTTTCAGAAACCCAAAATTTCAAAAAAATAACCAAAAAATTGGAATATACCCCAAAATGTCCAGAGAAAAAATTTGCAACCCAGGCAAAAATTAATACACTAATTACAAAAAAAAACTAGTTCCTTAACTATTTACAATGGGCCTACTTAAATATTATCGGATTTTTTTTATTTAGAAATGCATTTGTGAAAAATATAGCACATTTTAAAAAATTATTATATTCGGAACTAGTTACAATGAGGCTAGAAGGCATATATTTTTTTAAATTCAAAATCAAACTTCCTGAAAAATATGTACCCCAGAAACAAATGTAGTTGCAATAGACTAGTTCTATTAGTAGTTGCAGTGTGCCCACTTCTTGGGAAAAAAAAATTTTTAGCCTATAAGTCGCCTCCAATTACATTCTCAGAAATAGTATGTTTTATCTAGAACAAATGGTTTAAACATTTATATTTTTGTAAAACTTATGTATCTACATTAGGAGTAATTTAATTTTGAAAAAAGTGTATGGCATATTCAAATTCTACGTTCGATTCTAAGCAAAAAAGGTGAACAAACTATATACCAAAAATGACGTTTGACCCTCCCAATTTTTAAAAGAAAAAGCAGTGTATTATAATTTTTTCTGGATGCAATTAATTTTTCATTTAAACAATTTTATGTTTTCTTCATATTTAAGAAACTACTTCGCAAAACCGAGAAAGTAGTAAATTATATATGTCAAAAAAAAGTTACAAAAAAAAGTTACAACTGACTGCTTTTTCTTTTGAAAATTGGGAGGGTCAAACGTCATTTTGGGTAGATAGTTTGTTCGCCATTTTTGCTTATAATTCATCGTAGAATTTGAATTTGCTATACTCTTTCTTCGAAAATTTTGCTCCGAACAAATTACTCCGCCCTAATGTGCATATGTATGTATAGATATACTATTTCCGTTCAACAAAATTAAAAACAGGGTTGTGCAGAACTAGTTTTACATCAAACTACAATGAGACTAGTTCTTTCGGTCCAAATTCTTTTGTTTAAAAATACTTTTATCCTAAAAAATTGAGCTAAAAAAAAATTTAAAAAAAGCTGACTAATGTAAAGTTTATTTTACAACTTACAATGAGACCACTTCTTTCGAAAAAAAATTTTGTAAATCATTTACAATTAATATGTATGCGCATCTAATTTATTTTGACAAACACTTTCAGGACCAGTGTTGTAACTAATCTAAAGTTTTCTAGAGTATTTTATTACATATAAGCTTATTATCGCTATTCATACTTACACTCACATACGTATGGCCCAGTGTAAGTAAATGCATACTTACATATGAACGTATGTATGTATGTAAATTTACATACCCTCTGGCATACACAAATTTCGGTAAACGCGCATTCATTAAATATTTACAACATTAAACATTTACCGGATCGCGTTTCACGAATACAATAGCCAAAAAAGGAAGATGAAAGAATAATGCATGAATTTTCAAGCAGCCAAAAAAAAAAATTTGACAAAGCTAAATTTTTGTTGATTTAAAATTGCATAAATACGTTAAAAGCTTTAAAAGTTGGTGTGAGAGCCGAATTTGGCTAAATAAACACTTGAAATCGGATTCGATTGATGTAAATACTGTAAGTTCTTTGCTGTGTAAATGTTGTAAAATTTCAGTGTTTTTGAGAGTCGCTGATGCGCGAACACGTGTTTTTTTTTACAATTTCCATTGAGTGGAAGGCCAGGGACCTGTAAAATATGTAGCAAATCTCGACAATTCCTACATATCTACCTGTTTTAATTACAAAATGAAGTAGGTTTTAGGCAAAGACTTTAACCTGGAAAACACTGCATTTGGAAGCCGCATAGAAATTTCTATTTGAAAGCCACTCTAAAAGATTTCCGCTCTCGCTGCGCAAGCTTAGCTTTTAAGTGGAAAAGCCCTTATATCCACTTTTTGGACTAACACCCAAAATTTATGTCCAGCTTCGGAATGACCAAGCTGTGTCCAGTTTTTAAACATCCCAAAATGTTTGATGAATTTTTATATGTTAAAAAATTTAACGTCCACTTTTCAAATTACCAAAAATTTATGTCCAGTATTTAAATTACCAAAAAC